TACTTAATTCATTATAACATTACATTATACTATTATAGTATGATCATATAATTAATATAACATTACATAATTAAAATATTAAATGATTACTTAATTGATTATGACATTATATTATAAACATTAGTAATTTACTAATTTACACAATACTTAATTAAATGATTAGAATTTTATTAATTATAACATTACATTATAAATTTATAGTATGATTACTTAATTAATTATAACATTCTATTATAAACAATATTACAATACTTAATTAAATGATTAACAATTTAATTAATTATAATATTACATTATAATTAAATAGTATATTACTTAATTAATTATAACATTACAATTTACATTATAGTATGATCACTTAATTAATTATAACATTACACAATTAAATGATTACTTAATTAATTATGACATTATATTATAAACATTAAACATAAGTAATTAATTAAATTATTAGAAATTTAATTGATTATAACATTACATTATTGTTAAATAACTACTTAAATAATTATAAGTATTTATAACATTACATTATAGTATGATCACTTAATTAATTATAACATTACATTATAATTTAATAATTATAATGTAATGTTTGAATGATTTTGGTGAAGTTATTTGATGTGAATTGTGATGAATAATTGTTTGTGTTTTGGTTTTGATTGACGAATTTTATGTGAATTGTGATGAATTGATTGAATTCAAGTGTTGCCTAGAGATTACAGGATATGAATTACATTGGACACAAATGAATAAATAATCAAAATTTGTTAGGGATATATTTATAAACTTTTAAAGTATTTTTGTCATTTTTTAAACTAATAGGGGGGTAATTGATTTTTTGCAGGGTACCCAGGAAAGGAACCCGAACCTGCATTTTAGGTTTCGGTTTCGGTTCCTTTTTTTGGGAACCTACACTGTGCGGTTCCGGTTCCGGTTCCCCTAAAAAGTGTAGGATACCCGGAACCGCTCACCCCTACTCATAGGGTTCTCACTATCAAGATTTGAAACACTTAATACCCTTGTCACGGTTCTACCATTCTAAGAACATATATCAATACATATTGCAATAATAATTATTTACGCGATATAGAATAAAATGTCTTTTATTGATTAATGAACATTATTACAAAGAGTCAATTCTACAATAATTGATTGGCTTTAGGGCATCTACTCTAACAATGATTACAAATCTGCAAGTAGGTAGATGTCGTGCAAGTCCTTCCTTACCTCCCATTGGCTGATAACTTGGGATATATCCTCAAATTACCTAAGGCTTAGACAGGTGTGCGACTCCCATTCACTCAGAGACAAAACCTGAATCTGCCAAGTTGGTGACAGCCGTGTTCTTTCTATCTTGGGGCAACGTGGCAGCATCTGGATGGCATAAAGCCTTCTTGAACTTTGATTTGACCTAGCTGATATAAGCTTACATTAGCCCTTATTTTTAAGGCATAACAATTTCAATTTCAATTTATAGTATGCCTATTTTGTTAGATTTTTGTGGACATTTGAAGTAAATACTTTTGTATTGTTATTATGATATATTTTATTAATTTTGCTTTTTTGAATTTTGTCGAATTTTATATATGGGCATGTCTAATAACGGTTGCTGCATATTAAAGTGTTAACTTTTATTATTTTGTCGATCATTTTGATTTGTATTAAGGGGGCGTTTGATTGGAGGTTATGTGGCAGTACTGAGGTTATGTCATCTTATATTACTTGATTACTATATTTGATTGTCAAGTAATATTAGATTCTGGTAATCTTCAAATACCAATAGTAGTTATTGTTGGTGATATTAAAAGTAATCAGATTACCTTCATTTTTTTAGGTATTGTAAGATTACTAAGGTAATCTTTTTTTTTGTTAAAATTTTGTCCTTTATTAATAAAATTTTAGGACAATAATACTCTTAATTTTTAATTAATTTACATGAATATAACTTTTACTATTTCACCCCTATTAATTAACTTTTTGGACAAAATTACCCTTGAATTCAAAACAAATTACAACCCACCAAAGCCACCACCCCCACCCACATGTCGCCGCCACCGGCTAGCCGTAGCTGCAGTCGGAACGATGTACGGAAGGCTGGAAATAGCCGTCGTGCGTCGATATGGCCATTTCTGGCCAAATAGATGGCGGTTAACAGCCATGTCTCTAGTTGTTAACCGTCATCGATCTGGCTGTTTTCTAGCCAAATTTGTCACAATCTAGCCATTCCGGCTGGATCACTGGCCGGAAGTGGCCATACAGCGCACGGAAACTATTTCCTGCCTTCCGTGCGCCGTTAGGTTATCGACTGTCGGCGACCAACGGTGGTTGCCAGCTGGTGGCAGCCAGCGATGGTTGCCGGCGGCTGGCAGTGGCTGGGTTGGTGGGGGTGTATTGTGGATTTTCCAAACTTTTATTATAGGGCTGTTTTTGCTAAGTTTTTAAACGTATGGGGTTATTAATAATCCAAATAATAATCTGAATAACAATATTAGAGCATCTTTAATAGTGCTCTTTATTTTAAAGAATATATTTAACATAAATAAAGAGCATCTTAATTAATTTTTAAATATAAAGAACAAAATTTGTATTGAAATCCAATAGACTCTTTAAATTATATTTAATAAATACGATAGAGAATTAATAATAAAATGCATAAAAACTTGTAATTTATTAAATAAAATTGGGATAGAGAGTGAAATTTAACTCTTTAGATATAGGGAGCCAAACTCACTCTTTAATTTATATTTAAAGAATAAAGAGTCTATTGAACTCTTGTTTTTATGAACAAATTCTTTAGAGTAATACTACACTTATAAAGAAATTTTACAAAGATCTCCATACAAAGTGATATGGCAAAAAATGAATGGAAGAGTAAATTTAATGAGTTTGACTTTTTGTTTCACTCTTCTATTTATTTTTTACCACCTCACTTTGTATAGAAATCTTTGTAAGTATAATATTATTGAATTCTTTATAATAAAGAGTTTGAGTTATATAAAGTGTCAATTGGAGATGTTCTTAAATAATAATATTTAATTAAAGGAAAACTCAGTAATTTAAATAATATATCCATCAATTTATTCCTTCTAACAAAACATATTAATAAACGATAATGCTACGAACATCGGGATTTTTGCACCGAAATATTGTACCCGTCTACGTGTAACACGCCTCTGATTTTTTTTAACAAATTTTTTCTAGTGAACGGCCATCCATCAAATTTGGACAGCCGTTCACTCACATGGACGCCCGTCTATGTTATATGGACAAGTGTCCATATACAAGGGACGGGCGTCCCCATTTAAAGAACGACCGTCCATAAATAAAATATGAAAATTAAAAAAAAACTTTGGGGACGGTCGTCCATAAATTTTGGACGCCCGTCCATACTTTAAAAAAAAAAAAAAAAATTCGTCTTCATTCCCCACCTCCTCTCTTTTTCTTCTGTCTTCATATCCACCTTTGAATAGCTCTGAAACAGCTTACTCCATGACGTAAAGTAGCTCTTAACATCTCTTCACTGATACCACTAAGATAGTCCTCAAAGTTTTCATGGGATCGCAATAGAAAAGCCATGACGAATGGATAAGGGCTACCTCTCATGGCCTTTTCAATTTTCCTCCTGGGGTTCGTCCTGTGCCTCTGGAAATATATATTCAGGGAGTGGATATATCCAATTTTGATGCAAGGATGCAAGCCATGACGAAACCCATATATACTACAATTGTCCAACATGCCAAGAATGGAAAACCTGTGCTTGTATTTGTCCCTTCAAGAAAATATGTGCGACTCACAACCATTGAATTGAACACCTCAGCATCACTTGTCTCGTCCTCTAAGCAATGACATCCATTTTCTCCCGGATACACTAAAGGGTCGCTTCAGTACAGAGAGCAGCAAGATCTGCTCCCACATAACCATGGGTATCTCTTGCAACTCTTTCAAGATCAACCTAAAACATGCCATCAAATAAGAATGTCACTATACTAAAGAAAAAAGACATAAAATGATTTATAAAGAAAAAAGATATAAAATGATTTATAAAAGACGATGAGATGAAGTAGATAAGAGTCCTACATCTTCCATGCTTTTAGCAAAAGTTTATAATTATATTTTTAATTTAGGGTAAGAGAACGAGAAGTTTTGAATATTTTAAAGCATCCATGACCATAAATAGGATCAAGCTCCGGTTCAGTCTCCGTTTCATCCTTCTCTTTTGTGTGACATGCAGTTAATCATGGTTCAAGAATTGCATAGCAAGTTGGAGTAACTGGAGACGCTATTCTCCAGGTTGAGGTCCCTCAAAAATCCTAATGATTTTTGTAAAAAGGTAATTCCATGGAGGTAAGAGTTTAAGATTTTCGGGGAAGTCAGTAGCGATGAAGAGAATAAGGATAAGTTACAGAACTTCAACCAGGATGCAAACGTACTAGACTGGCTGGAGGACCTCAAAAAGTTGGCTGACGATGTGCAGTATCTGTAGAAACCAAAATAATGGACGGGCGTCCATTCCGTCCAAACATTTTTTTTTTTAAAGTATGGACGAGACGGCCGTCTAAAATTTATGGGCCGTCCCCAAATTTTTTTTTTTTAATTTTCATATTTTATTTATGAACGAGCGTCCTTTAAATGGGGACGCTCGTCCCTTGTATATTGACACCCGTCCATATAACATGGACGGGTGTCCATGTGAGTGAACGACCGTCCAAATTTGATGGACGGCCGTTCACTAGAAAAAATTTGTTAAAAAAATCAGAGGCGTGTTACACGTATGCTAGTATAATATTTCGATGCAAAAATTCCAGTGTCCATAGCATTATTGATTAATAAAACATATCTGATAATTTATTCCAACAATTAATCTAATTTTCCAGTAATCAAGTACCAATAATTCAATATTCCCTAATCCAAACGCTTCTAAAGGATTTTATGAACTTTATCGTGAATTTCATCTTCTGGGTCTAGGTTGTTTTGTCGGTCATTTCCTTTTGCAGGTGCGGCGCAGCTTTGTGGGATTCTTGATTCAAAGAAAAAAGGTCAAGTACCCTGGATTCCAGATTCAACCAAACCCTCAAGAATGTTCAGGGGTACGTTAAAAAAGCTTCCTCTTTTACAAATTTTATCCTAAATTTATTTTTTTTGCATCAGGTTTGAGTGCCCATCTTTTGTTTGGATTTGGGGATTGGTTTTGGTGGGTATGATAGATCTCTTTAATTGGGGTTGGTGATCTAGAATTTGAGTGTTACGTGAAATTTTAGGTTTTGATCTTTGAGATGGGTGATATTGTTGGAAATTTGATGTGGGTTTGGTTGGTTTTTGTGAAATTTAGTGAGAGAAGGGTTGTGTGATTTGTTAGAGTTTGATGAATTCATTGCTTCAAGAAAGAATGTAAAGAGAGGGAATGAAAGATTGAAGATTCATTTGGATCTAATTAAAGCATGATTTTTGTTGTTCTTGTTGTTGTTTAAGCATAGTGCTATTGTAAATTAGTGGAGTTTGATTTACTTGGGGAATTTGTTTTGGTGCAGGCTCGCTTCTTCTTTCAGCAGCTGATATCTGGAGTCAGCTATTGCCATGCAATGGTAAGCCATAATTTCTATTGTGTATGAACTGTTTAATCTTATTCTTTTAATGATAAACCCATTTTTCAGTTAGAAAATATATCATTTTGTATCTTGGGTCTCCAAATTTGAGTATTCATTTGCTTTCTTTTGGTGCTTCTGGATAAAGCAAGTTTGCCACCGGGACTTGAAGTTGGAAAACACTTTGTTGGATGGAAGCCCGGCTCCTCGGTTAAAGATATGTGAGGGAGAATCCTGAATTGGCTTTGAGGGGTTCTTGTGTTTTGGTGATGTTGATGAAGGGGAGTATGTGTATTTGATGAATGTAACCCTCTCTTCCATTTTTGTTATGCAGATTTTCTATTGTTAGATTTATCCATGATTTGAAAAAGGAAAGAAAGAACAATAGATGATTTCGTTGTTTTTTTTAATTTTGATTTATTCCTATATTTCTGAGACTTTTATTATAGTCTGACATATTCAATTAAAACAGGTCCTCATCTTATTACTGGCAATGGGGTTGGATTCAAACCAGATATTTTGGACATGGATGTAATGGAAAAAGTTCTTGAGGTAAATATTGCTTATGTACTATCTTTTCAAACCCTTTCCTCGCCAACAAAAACAAACAAACTCTGTAGGCTAAATTTCTGAATTTTACTTAAATTTCTATGACAGATTGGCAGTGAAGATTCAGTAAAAATGGCTAGGGAGTTGGCCTTGAAAGAGGAGCTTATGGTAAAACTCAAATGATTTTTAAATTTCAGTTATCTATACCAATATGTGTGTGTTGTGAGTTTTTATACCGTTGATATTTACCTTCTCTTAATGGGCATTTCTCTAGACCTTGATCAGACTTCGTCTGAAGTTGTTATGAGCATTGTAATCAGGTTTTTGGGCTGAAATATTTAAAGACTCTGTTCCAATTATTAGATCTCCAACTTTCAAGTTCTTCTGCTCTTAAGAATAATGTGTGAATTTCAAATTCTTTTAAGCTTGATGTCAACCTTCTGGTTTGTGTAGGTAGGGATATTCTCAGGTGCAAATACAGTTGCAGCACTAAAACTCGCTCAAACGCCCAAGAACAAAGGCAAACTTATTGTTGTAAGGACACTTCTGTTTAAATTCTCAAATTCACTCAATAAATGATTCCCAGTTGTCAGTGGTGACAAACTATTTCACCCAGAAGGGAATTAGACTATGAAGTTGTTAAAAGTCTTTTTTTTTTTTTTTTTTTTTTTTTTTTTTCACAGTTTTAAAATGACAACTTCAATACTCAGAATTTTTATTGGTTTAAATTACTTTTGCTGGTGGTTCTATTGGTTGTTGGTCATTTTAACTAGTGAATAGGCTCATGATTGTATTAATTATCTACTTTTTACTGCATATGAAAATGAATGTTGAGTATTGTGTAACCGTTCTTTAAAGCATTATCTTTTTATTTTCTCTTATAGCTATCCCTCTCTCTGAGGATCACAAACCCAACAGAAGTGATGAGGGGAAAAGAATTGAAAATGTTGGCAGCGTCGTAATGTGGGCAGGTAAAATTATTCACTGTATAACGTTTATTATTGAAGTAAGAAGATGCAAATTGCTATCATGATAATTTCCAAGCAATGAGTATATAGTGTAACTGATTTGTGGGGTTGAGCAATAATTCAAAGCCTACAGTTGGTAAAAGTTGTGCTTATTAACTAATTTTAGTTGCTTATTACATTCTTCTATTGTGTCAGAAACAGTTTGACATAAGTCTTGGAGTGACAAGGTTTGGGATTGGAAACCACTAATGAGTGCCTTGTTAGACTGTTGTTCCTCTTATTGTTTTGTCAGGCACTTGGAGAGTTGGAGGTATTCTAGCTATGTCATGTGCATTTGGTAACCGTATGTTGAAGTAATTTGTTGTTGCTAAACCTGATATCCAGGTAATTATCTATATCTTCTGCTTATTATCTTGTGAAGGATTTATATTTTTTAATTTTTTTGCCCCTTAGGGTAGTGATAATCAGTGGTTTTAATGGGCTATGTTTATTTGCAGACCGGGTAGTCAAGCAGATTCAACTGGTAAAAAGACCAAATAATGTTTTCGACAAGAAAACGTGGAATAATATTCATGATGAGTTCAACAGGCAAACATAACTCAATACGACAACATTGAAAGCACCTAGATGTTCTACGACAGTCTAGGGGTGTTCACAGAATCGGTTGAACCGGAACCGCGGGTGTCCTGGTTTGGTTTCGGTTCCGGTTCCTACCCAGGCCACGTCAATGGGTAGGTTCCGATTCCAAATTTTTGGAACTGTTACTATGCGGTTTCGATTCCGGTTCTTATAGTTAGGAACCGGAACCAAGAACAGGAACCGAGACTAAGTAAAATAAATAAAAGATTAGGGGGGTTAATATAAATTTTTGTAGAAAAAGTAATGTGAATACATTTATATTTATATTCATAACATTTAAAGTAAGTTGGTTTGACTTTTGAGAATCTACCTTTACAGTAATGGAGTTTGTATTTTGAATTTAAATTTATAATTTGTAATTTTATTTTTGTTAACAAGTGCCAGGTGGGGTATTTATAAGTTTTAAGCGTTTTTTGCGATTTTAAAACTGTTGGGGGATCATGTAATTTTACAGTAGCCCAAAACCGGACCGGAACCATTGTTACGGTTCGGGTTTTGAGTACCTAGGAACCGAACCTTCGGTTCCAGTTCTGGTTCCAAATTTCAAGTAACCGTCGGTTTTGGTTTCGGTTCTGGTTCCTTCAAGAGTGCAGGGTACCCGAAACCGAACACCCTTAACGACACGCTACTATATTATGAAGTCTCTTATAATCAAAACACTTTGCTATTGAGGTTATTTACTTAGATTGATAAAGTTTGCTGCATTTCTTTCATGTTTACTTTCAATGTATGTTTTTCATCCTTAAACTTCTCAACTGGGTGTTTGATAAATAGTTTGTAGCATTTACTTGATGTTTCTCATTACAAAAGTAAGGGGTTCTGTTAAGATTACTCATGAATGGCATTGGCAATAGCACCCTCGTAGTCTCAAGATCACTAGATCAGTTGCATTATCTGTGATATTTTTGTAGCATTACTGTTTATCTACGTACCAATATAGTATGGATGTTATACTCTTGGTTAATGGTGTTAGTATTTGGTCTGGAACCTCCAATTTGACAACTCTGCAGGTGTTTTGATTTTGTATACATACATGGGCAGGTTTCACACACCCTCCTCTTTCATTTGGTTTTTCCATGTTAAAATATATTATATATTAGTTGTAAATCTGAAAATATTTGAAATATAACAAAATAAACTTTAACCCTATTTCACATAATACTATCACTTAAATTCAACAATAATATTGACAACTATTTACTATTATGTTTTACCACAAGAAACAATATAATTATGACTATAGAGATACTTTGATATAGATATCAACCAATTAAAAAATTCATTATCAAACACGGGTTAATGCGTGGGCTTTCATCTAGTTGAACTTATTTCAAACTAAAATAATAAAATCAATATAAAACCAAACTTAACTAAATTAACTCTTCCCAAACTATAAGTCTAATCAAGATTATTTTACCAAATTGTCACTCGGTTGTTTAATTTAACCTCCAAGCTTAATCATAGGGATATCTATTATTTCAAAAAATTCAGGAGTATTTGTATTTAACTAACCCTAGGTGTCATTGTTTCAAACAATAAAATACCAAACTTTTTTTGGGGGGGGGGGGGGGGGGGGGAGAAGATGGTGGGAGAGGGAAGTTATTAAAGACCATATGATTTGCATTTAATTAAAAGGCATCAAGTTTTAAAGTGTTAACTAAATGCCATATTATGATTAAGGGTAATTAGTTCTTAATTGGATTAATAAAGTATTATGTATCTTTTCAAATTAACTGTATTCCCACAAACTCGAATATGTTGCAAAACACCCAACACCTCTTCTTCCTCTCGCCTTAACCATCTCTACCTTTGCATCTTCTCTCTTCTTCTTAGCTTCGTCTACATCTTCTTCTTCCTCTGCATCTCTTCTTCCTCCTCATTCCTCTACATCTTCTTCTTCCTCATTCCTCTATATCTTCTTGTTCCTTCGCCATTAAATTCTTCTCCTCCACCATTAACATCTTCTCCACAAAGATCCTCTTCCTCTCCTCCTACATTTCGTCTAAGTATGTGTACTCCTTTTTACATTTTATATTTAGCTTTACAAAGATTTAATATGGATGGTTTGGGTTAGATTTTGATTTAGTGTTTAGGTGTGTGGGTTGTGTTTGATGTAATGCAGTTGAAAGGAGTGAAATTTGTTAAAAATTTGTTCAGGGTAGGATGATCGATTGGTGGAGATGACTAAAATGTGTTCTGGGTATGATGGATTGCTTAAGCGATCTGGTAGGTCTGGTAATGCAGCAGATAGATCGCTTAAGTGATCTGGTAAGTCTGGTGTATAGGCAATCGTTTAAGCGATCAGTAAGGCATAAGATCGCTTAACGATCATTGTATCGCTTAAGTGATCCAGTATAATAACCATGATCGCTTAAGCGATACAACAGACCTATAACGACTGTGCAATCTTTTAATTTTGAACCCTTAGTACAACATTTAAGAATTTTTTTCTTGCATTACAGGTAGTTGGCTATTACCATAGGACAAGTTGTTTTGGGTGTTGAATATTTTGGTGAGTGGGTAGAGGAAGAATGTAGCTGGAAGTGGATTGGGAAGAGCAAAGAAGTTGTACCAATTGCTGTGAGCACAGAGGTTAGTTTTGAGGTTGATTGATGATATTAGAAGAGGTAATTGGAGTTGCTCGCGTAGTGATATAGTTGTGAAATATATTTTAAGCAGAGTTCCTGAACATTATAGGTACTTCCTGCTATATTAAAGTTGGATAAAGTGTGAAGTTATATTGATTGGTGGCCGATAATGGTTCGAGGCCGATAATGGTTCGAGGTCGATTTTAAGGTTTCTCTTGTAGAAAAATCGTTCGAAGTTGGTTCAAAGAGGGGGATAACGAGGATAGGCGGAGATTTGCCGGTTTTAATTTGAACTACAGGACATTGATTTGTTAGTTAAAATCAAGAGTAGACGGTGAATTGGGTGGTAAGGAGGACACTGTAGAAGAGTTGGTGGTGTGAGGAGGCAGAATAAAATGTTGAGGATGAGGACCCGTAGATGTTCCCACAGATGTAGAGATTCCTTTATATACATATTATGCAGAAGGCGTAGATTGTGAGAAGAGAACACCATGGTCGTTTATGCAGGTTCAAGAGAGGGTAATGGAGTGAGTAGTGAATCAGCTCATGTTTTTACGGATGGATCGCAGTTGCACATAGGGTATTTATTTGACAACAAAGAGGAAGTGGTGAGGAAGCTAAAACTTGTTGCCGTGAGGTAATTTGAGTTCATCACCAAAAGTCAAATTCATGTGCTGTGACGGTTGCAGTGTCGTGACCGAAAGTGCAAGTGGCAGATTTATTTTAGAAGTTGGGCGGAGTCGGAAAAATTTATTCTTACACATATCCGTGACACACTTGTGTTTGGACATATTTCAGGTGAGTCACAACGCATCCGCTGATGTTATGGACAATTTGTCAAAAGTTAGTTCGTTGAAGGGAAGGTCTATCTCCTAAAACATTCAGAACTTGTGCGCACAGAGTTGGGATTGCTGTTAGTTACTGGAAATGCTAGAAAGGGAGACTATGCACAAATTTTGGTAGGGCACGCGGAGCATGGGACCAGTATTAGAAGCGTATAGCTTGATTGACAAACAACAGTAGCAAGACGGCTTGGAAGTGGGACAGGAATATGATTTAAATTTTTTTGTTGCTTACGTTTTGCTATAAGGGGTTTTGTAAACATGGAAGAAGTGTTGGCTGTTGATAGTTGCTTTCTGACGGAAAGTATGGAGGTCGTTGTTGGTGGCCACTGCACAGAGCACGAGAATCACACATATCAGTTGGCATGAGTTGTGGTGTGACTTTGGAATGACAGTCGTGGGACTTGGTTTTTTCAACAATTACGTACATATGCGCTTGCCTGACGAGTTGGATAATAATCCGATAGGCACACTCTTAAGAGGATTGCCACTATTTACCGTCAAACACATCACAGATTCTTTGAGGCACTTGTGGAACATAAACAAAGTTAAGTGTGCTGGCCTCCTTACACATACAATAGCATAGTGCGAGAGCTTTGCGTTGATGCGTTCGAGGAGAGGCACTTCCAGCAAATCCGAATCAAGGATGATAGAGTTGCTAAGTATCTTGAACATGATGTTGGTTTCGAGTGATGAGTAGAGCTTACTTTCCTAAAGAAGGTTTGATGTCATGACCACAAACATAGGCCGAGTCCATAAATTCAAGTTGTTAATAGAAAGAGAGTTCCAATAGTTGCACTTTTGATGCAATCCAAAGGACATTGGCGCGGTGGTTCCATGAGCGTCGTACGGAGTCAGATAATTTTATACACACCTTTGTTTCGTCGACTAAAAATTATTGAGTGAGAGTTATATAAACTGTCAATGCACTGTTTGCCTATCCTCTTAATGCTCAGAGTTCACTGTTTGCGGCTATGGCCGAATGCCTGCGTTAACCTGTTAGAAAACTTGCAGCTGTAAAGTGTTTGACATTCAACGTTTACCTTGTCCTCATGCTTAGCAGCCTGACACCAACGGAAGCCGATTTTGATTCAAATATATATAGGAACTTTGCCTCCCCTCTCTATATGATAGATCACTACATTCTAGCTTTATAAACGATATATCCGGTGCCTCTAGAAGAGCATGGGTAGTGCCTAGCACAAAGATGCTAAATTATCATCCACTCCATTCAAAAGACAGACAATGGGAGAAAAGAGTTAAGCGTATTCGATCAACCTTTGAGGTTCCCCGGAAATAATAAGTGCTCAATTTG